CCCCAAAACCCCAAAACCCCAAAACCCCAAAACCCCAAACTGAATATCTTCAAGAATTAAAGCGAATTAATTGAATAAAATGAATGGGAAAGAAATTTTATGAATAGAATTATATTTGTTTATATTTTGGCTTATGAAGAGTTATAGCATATTAAGTATATCAGATTTGTGCTGCGAAATAAATCAATCATAATTTTCGAGAACTTTTCTAGAGTGGAAGCAATGGCACATAAAATAGAATTTTATTGCTTTCATTGTACTAAGATTGCTTGCATCTTTTCTATATATGATAATAGAGATTACTAAAGCACAAATAAGTATCAGTGTAGCAGATATTGCTGCTGCCAAGAATGAATAGGCATTATTTTCAGGGAGTTAAGTAAGATACATTACAGCCATTAACAGAATAAATGCACAAGGATACAAATATCTAAAAACTGTATCAAAGTTATAGCTGACTATTTCAGAAAGTCCGAAGATAGTACTGTTTTCACTTCTAATTATTTTTCTTAGTCTCAACTAGATATCAATATTGATGGCATGGAATCTTGAGAATTCCCCTAAAGACTCAATAATTTTTAAGCTCTCCTTATTTCTTCTTCCATCAGGTCTATTTCTTCTATTAATTGCAAACATCAATAATTTTATTGGGTCTGATGGCATCTTATCTACATCAATCTCTGTCACTGGTGTGATTGCCTAATTGCTAGTTCTTCTTTAAGGAGAACTATCTTTTCTTGGAGATACTTTCTTTTACTTCTATTAAAGACATGGGCAGAAGGGAGATTAAGAGTTCTAAACTGCAGTAGTGGCTTTTCTTACCTTATCTTCCGAAGTTTGATACTTCTTATTAATTTCTTTCATGTTTATTTAGAATCCTTCGATTTAAAGAAAATCACCACCAAGAATTCTTTACCTGAGTGATTTAGCAATAAGCTTTCTAGAATCAGCAAGGATTAATTCAGGCTCCATTGGATTATCTAATTTTTCAGCAATCGCCTAAAGTTCCTGATACAATATTTCAGTCTTTTTAGTAGTTTCTTCGAAATATTTGATCGAAGCGTTCAAGATAGCATATTGAACGATAGGAACCACTGTAAAAACTAAGTTCCAAATAAAGAAACTATTCTACCAAGTCTCTTCTGCAACTTATGGTATCTTTGTAGTAGTTGATGCTAAGAATGAAGTTGTATTGATAATTATCCTCAATTCAAAATGTACAAAAATTACTCTTGCAGGAGCTCTTTTTGGATCGATCCAGAAAGTTATATAAGCTAGAACGACGAGAATAATAGATGGAATGATGAATATTTTTTAGAAGAATGTCTGCGTTTTAGAGAACTATAGCTCTATCTCTACACCTGAACTTACACCTGTTGGCTCAGTTTTCCATCTGACATCTACATTTTAAAATTTAGATAGGGCAAGCGTCCATGATAAATAATCTTTGCTTCTTTCCTCATCAAACTTATTCATCCAGGTAAGTGTAGCTGTGTCACTAAACTCATTTTGGATATAAGTAGTAGTTATACACTATTGTAAATTGCCTGGAGAGTTTTTATAATCAAATTAGCAGGTAAGAGTAAGCAGAATTTTTCTATAGTTTGTGATTGTGCCGTTAGGATAAAGGAAAACTGTCTCTGTAAGATTTACAAGTTTGTTAAGTTCAGTGTAACCTAAATTTGGTCTCCAAATATTGTATCTGTATTCACTTATATCTAACCTTGAATTCCTAATGTAAGCTGGTACATTAGTATTGTTTTAATAAGCTAATCTTTTGTCCACCCAAGTAGTGAATTCCACTAACTTAAGAGAAACATGCATCTTATTTTCTATTATTCCCTCTACTTAGAGCAGATCAACATCAAACTAGATATCAGTGATATCTTTACCATTGGGAGGTGTAGTCTGGTCAACATTTGCAAGTATTCTCTCTGCTGTAGGTGTTTAGCACAAAACCTATTTTTGATTTTGAAGAATGAATCCCAAACAAACCAAAGTAATTGAGACTAGTTTGGTAAATGCTATCATATTTTCTCAGTAAAATTATATTTCCTTTAAAATATTAACGATAAATAAATCAACAATAGTAATTTAACAGGGAATTTAAATTATTTAGTTAAGTTAAAATCAGTATATCAACTGTTAATATAATACATGTATAAGTTAGCCAAAACTATAAGACTTACTCCAGAGAGCTCTGCCGCACTGAAATTCGATTTCATCACAAAAATATCAAAGATAAATGTATATAAAAGTTCCATATTGTAATAAGCTGTAGCACGCGCTGCTTTCTCGTGGAATAATGTTTTATTAACACAAAAATTACCAACTACAGTAATAATTCCAACAAAGAAAATAATAAGGAGACTAAAGGAATCAAACTCGAATACACCTCTTTTCTAATGAGTAAAAGTCTTCTCAATAACAAAGAAAAATGGAGAGAAGAACATATTTGTAAGAGTGAAATAAATTACTATTTGCCATGAATTCAGCTCACTTTTGACTCTTCTCAATGCAATAAATCCAATGTTAAAGATTACTGCTGAGAGAAAAGCTAAAGCAATGCCAATAATATCGTTTTAGTCCTTGATCTTAGCGAAAGGGTCTGTCAGCAATCCTATTCCAATTACTCCAAAAAAGAAACTCAAAAGATCGTGCTTATTAACTTTCTCGCCTATTAGAATATAGCTCATTATTGAAGTAAGGAATGGATTATAAAGAATAATGACAATCTTAGATAAATCTGTAAACTTTATCGAAAAAAATTCCACTGCAAAACCAAAGAATCCTGTAATGCATCTTATAGCCAAATAAAACCCAACATGTCTTTTGACTTCGAAAAGACTAATGCCTTGATGCTGTAGGATAAAGAACACAATTATAAGAGCTGTCAAGGATCTTAAGTAGAGGATTTCAAAAACTGTCACACTGCTGAATTGGAACAAGTATTTGACTGCACAAATAAGCAAACCATATGATGTAGCTGCTCCAAAGCCATAAAGCAACCCTTTCAATGTACTTTTCTAGGGATTCTCTGCTTCATAGCTGGATACACTATCGATTCTCTGTAATGAATCTAAATCTTATCGTGGCATATCAGAGGTAGCAATATCTCCAAATTTCAAATCATTCTATCCATCTGGGAAATTCATTTCTTAGTACTTAGTCTCTTGACTATGGTTTGGAGATCATATTCCTAAATTTATATCCTTATTGTATGTCGTTACGAAGTCTTTATTCTAATTTAAGGTCAATCTATTGCTGAATTCAAAATGAGTAGAGCCTATGTTTTATCCTACTGATTCCTATTGAAATTCTCTGAGTTAATCGTTTTATCTACTCAAGGGATTGTTTTAGTGTTTTTTATCGCTTTACTCTTCAAGTTGATTATACTTCATTATTTAAATTTCAATAAATAAATTTCTAACATGCTAAAATTCAAATGTCATATGGGGTTTTGGGGTTTTGGGGTTTTGGGG